GGCCTGCATTCGGCGAGGTATGTATTACATGCTTTTAATATACGCGACATACAGCAACAGTGCACACATTCACACACACAACAGCATGTGCCCACACACACAATGATGATATATATATAATATAGCTATAGTTATAAGTATATATTAGTATATGAGTGTGATATATATAGTGTGTGGTGGTGTGTGTGTGTGTCGTGTTGTGTGTGTGTGTGTGTGTGTGTGTGTGGTGTGTGTGTGTGTGTGTGTGTGTGTTGTGTGTGTGTGCGTGCGCGTGTGTGTATATGTGAGTGTGGATGGATCAATGATTGTTCACCTATTCGCGCGCCATGACAATTTAATCTATATTACATTTATACGGCATGCCTTACGTAGTTTTTGTATTGTATGTAAAAGATAATTCATATACACTAATCCCACAGTTCAAGTGATATTTTAGCTTTTGAAAAATCAGTTTGAAAAAATCACAGTGGGTACATACATTGATTTGTGTAGGGAAAATATTTTGTTGAGTTTACGTAAAAGTACCAGATTGACGATTAATAGAAAACGTAAATTGTTCAATGCCTTTCAAGTCATGTAAAAAAAAATATCAGGTCACTGACGTCTAATGATAATGTTTAGTCCAAAAGTTGTGGTACTTTTTAAATATCTTCTTTCTTATGTTATCCATATATAAATACAATAGTAAATCGAAGTCTTATGAATGAAATCGGAACGCATACTAGAAATACATTCATATAGAAAATGCAACTGTGAATAAATCTGTGTCAGCTGCGTAATATAACTAGGACCATACATTACGACCGTCTCGCTAAAATGGATAAATGTGGTCGAATTACATGGAGTAAACTATGCAAATGGATGAAAACAATGATAATAATAATTGCATTCCGCGATTCGAACGTAGAAATTGGCGAATATGACGTCACGGAAAGCGTAAGATGTTGCCAGGTAGCCAAATAGATACACTGCCTGAACTTTCTTATTTTCACTTCTAACCCAGATAATCTTCCGTGAACAAGTTATTCAAAATAAAAATAAATCCCATTTCTTTTTCGGTCTTATCATCCTAAAATCAGTGGTTTGTATGTAAGACGTGACATATGTAACCTATTAAATAATGGTAACTGGCAACATGACCCCATATATGACACAGATTATGTGCGAAATTCCTACGGGATCACAATTCAATATACTACACCTTTAATATTCATCTCTAAAACTCCAGATAAGATAATACCAAATCCAAACGATACGAAGAACACATTTCCCTCAAATAAATCTCTAATCATCCTTCCATCTAGGCGAAATAAGCAAGAGAAACGAGCGGCGCCGCGGTGCGCATGCGCGGCCTCTCACAGCTGAGAGTTGAGCGTCTGGCGGAAGAACCCGAGCGGAGGGACTTCCATGGCTTATTTTTCTCGCTTTTTGCGCGATGTGACTTGTTCCGGATCTCTTTCCTTTACTACCGCAGCGCAGGAGTGAGAGAGGTGAGCATCCCGGTGGCGATCGGGGTTAGTTATCGAGGGGGAGAGGGTGAAATAGGCATAAATGAGGGTGGAAGGGTTTTACTATGCTTTCGGGGATTCAATTTTGAAAATCTCACGTACAATTTCGACCAATTAAGGCCCTTTTATGGGCAAATCTCCTTCATTTACACATTTTTCGAGACTCTCAAGTGTGTGTCGCAACAATTTTGCATCGTATGACCTCGGAATTTACCCTCAATGCGCTTAGAAAAAGACACAACTAAAAGACAGAATTCTTTCCACACTTTACATACCAAAGTGTTGAATTTCGTGTACTTTTTCTCCCGTTTTTTCTCTCTTCTTCCTCGGGATTCCGCGCGATGAAGAAAGAGGGAAGCGAGATAGAAGTAATAAACCGAGGAAGGAGACTTATTTGTGAACAGTTTCCATCGTGAGTGAAAAGGTTTCCATACACCATATATAGGCCTACCTTTCCCCTCCCTTAAAAAAAAACAAATTTCCATAGAATTTTCCAAAGGTGTCAATAGTCTCTTCTCTTCACACACTTGATATAGCACTGAGAGATCAGTTCTCTAAGCTAGTTTGTATTTTATCTTTTCCTTGTGATTTTTTAGTCTCTTAGAGGTTAGTTAATGCCATTTGTGATGTGTTTGACCTTAGGAAGACATAGCTATATTGTGATGATAGAGAAAAAATAAATAAGATCTCTGAATGGGATCTATAGGATATATGTTTTGTTGACTGTGTTAACCATAGGGCATTTTAAGGTTGTTTATGAAAGGGTGTGGTGTGGAGTGTGTAGTTTCAAAAGTAAGGTGATTGTAGTATCATGGAAAGTTACAGAGAGAGAAGAGGAGATAGACAGATAAAAGAGGGAGAATGGGATAGGTAGAACAATGAATAATGAGGGAGAGAGGAAACAGAATTCCATAAGAGAAGAGATTCTCCATAGTGAAGGCTAACAATATTGCTATGGTAACGGGAGGTTGTGTATTCCAATGAACTTTCAATGTGAAAGAAAGAAACGGAGCAAAAAGAAGAGTGTAGTCTCGTTACGGTGGAATTTGATAAAATTTCTAACACGATACATGGTATGATAGAGGAGGAGGTAGGACATTGGCCTGTTTTTCTTTGGTATTTTATTTTCTAAGTCTTTGTAGAAGAAGACCATATTGTTAGAATGTGTCTCCATAAGTTTTATAGTGTAGGTGCTTTCTGAATAGGAGTAGTGTACTAAAGAGTAATGATGTGCAATCTATCTCTTCTCTCCAATCCTCCCCCTTTCTCTTCCTTTCACGTTCTCTCTCCTTTACTCTCTCCCTCTCTCTTCCTCAAACGCATGTTCTTCTATTCATCAGTCTTGTACACTTGCTTGCACATTTGTCCACCAAGTGAACTTTAATTGTCTTCAGTTGATAAACGTATGTGTATAGTTGTTAAGTATCGTAGGTCTACAGTCACCTCTGATTTATGTGGTTCTGTGCAAAATCCATGAATATGCAAGCACATGAACTACCCAAGACGTGTATAGTAATGATAGATATTATGTACGTATTAGCATGCACATGCACATACATGGGAGATATCTAGTTACGTATGTATGGACACCTGTTTTGCCAGAAGTGGGGGAAGGATGGGGGAGTTGTTAGGTAGAAGTAGTTGACAGATCATCAATTTGTCCTTTTCTGCCTATGGTGTTTGGTAATTCCTGCATTTTTGGAGAACTGGTGGAGGCAATAGTAAAAGGAAAATACCTGATAAGGATCATTATATCCTTCATTCTTATCCTACTCATTGACCATGGTACTGACATTGTATGAAAGTACGTGTGCACCTAACCTTCATTCCATAGGTCAGGATATCTGCACCTGCGGTTGTTTTATTTTGTAAGGGATACTGGGTTGAAGATAGAAGTTGGGATTGAAAAGTTTGAATGAAATAAAGACGATGTCAGCTTGTTTTCAGTCTCTTTTGATATATCAGACTGGTAGAATTAATGGTATTTTATGTTGTCTGAGGTTAAAACTACAAGTTGTTCTTCTGGTGCATTTTAAGTATGGTACCGGAGCTGAAGTGGGACAGAAAATATTGGGATGATATTTGTTTTCAATGTATGAAGCCATTTAAATATATGTTGTCCAATTTTTTAGATTTATTTTTAGAAGTAGGGGATAGTAATGAACAATAACACCAAAAATGAGGGCAAACGAACATAGAAAGCGTCGCTCTTGGCCAGATTCCACTCAGTGCTCCCGAGTTTCAGCTCTATTTTGCCATGCATACGAGAGGAAGATGATGTTGTTGGGGGGCAGAACCTCCCATCAACCCTCCCCATGGGCAGTGCCCAAAGGGCATGCCCAATCACGGCACTTTAGATTGATGAATAAATTTTGTGACATGAAGTTGGGGACTTAGTCTTTGGCGAGTGTGTCCTTACTTAAAGAATTACCAGAGTGGAAATATACAATGATGAATTTTTCACAAGTACAGATGAATGCATGCACATGTGTGTATGCACACACACAAACAAACACAACAACACACACACACACACACACACACACACACACACACACACACACACACACACACACACACACTACACACACACACACACACACACACACACACACACACACACACACACACACACACACACACACACACACACACACACACACACACACACACACACACACACACACACACACACACACACACACACACACACACACACATTTAATTCTGTAAAACAAGGGTTTTTGTGAAATTGCATTCAGTGCAGTGTGCAAACATTGTTTACTTCCCAGCACTTTTGTATTAATTAACATGAGCACCCAGTTAGGTAATGTACATACATGCATGATTAAATAGTGCAATATTGTTGGACTTACACTTAACCCACTTACGACGGGTGTCCCACATATGAGACACCTGGAAAAGTAAACAGTACTAAGCGTCCTGCCAGTGCGAAGCTAGATCAGAGCTCGCGCTTTGATTTTGGCTTGCTGGCAGGTTCCCAGACTCGCCTGCGTGTCGATTTTGAAGCTGCCTGGAAATTATTATTTATGGCTTGAAAATGTACCATTGCTAGTGGGTTAATAATCCAAACAGCAATGTATGGTAGTGTCAGTGTTTGAACCGCTCCTCCTATTTTAGAAAGTTGATTCCAATGATGGGGAAAGAAGTCAGCCCTAGTTGGTCGAGAAGGCATCATGACTTATGTGCCAGGGAGATGGCTGGGAATGGATGAATAGAAAGGGACATAATTAACATGGGTGATCACCACTATACATGAATGACCTGAATGTAAAGGAGCTATTAACCCACTAACAAAGGGCGTCCCACATAGGAATCTTTTATTTCCGGCTTCAAAACATACCGATGTTAATGGATTAAAGGCACAGTCACACAGTATCGTTGGTTTGTTTGGGAAAATTAGATATAAATTTTGTTGTATAAACAAATGGTCATGTGTTAAACAGGAAGAGAGAGACGAGAGAAAAAGGCATGATCTTTTATCACGTTCATGACCAAAACAAGAATTTGAGACCCTTTGAAAAAGACTTCTCCGTTACAATTCCGAGATGTGTATCTTCAGTGTAGATTGTATCTCTTGTGTACGAGGGCAGTTTACCGGTGTCACATGGTCTTATTATATTAATAATGTCTAATATGCGCAACAACAGATTCACAAACTCCTAATAATGAATGTGTTTACCAGGAAATAACCCTTTTAATGGTCATCTCCTTTGGTATTACAGAGTGTTGGATACCATGGCAGGAAGAGGAGGTTTGATGACTTCTGGAGGAGGAGGCTCTGGGTCGGCAGGAGACCCAAGCAACCAGCCCATGGACCTGGCACAGAAGACAGTCGCCAGGTCTCTAGAGTCGGTGAGTTGGAGGTGCTGCATCTTTGTGGGTGGTCTGGTGCATTCTGGATGGTTGGTTCATTTCTTGATTAACTGTGTATTTTATTTTTCTCTCCCTTTCTTTCTTTCTTTCTTTCTTCCTCTTTATTATTCTAACAATGTATTTTATCTCTCTTCCTCCCCCTCCCTTAATTCATCCTTTCACCTCTGTCAGTATCATACCCATATTTACAAAACTTGAAATAAAAATTGTGATTCTGTTATCTCAGGGAGGCATAGTCAAGAGCGGAGGAACCACTGTTGTCCACTACACAACGGGGGTTCAGCAGATTCTCGCCACGAGTGGAACCACAGCACATGTGGTCACTGCCAAGTCTAGTAAGTGACAGCTCAGTTTTAGAGGTTGATATTTCAAATGTCCTTATGTAATTTCTTTGTAAACATGTCTCTATTTCATTTTATAGATTTAGTGCCTAACTTGAGTTTATTCTTCAATCTTCCTGTCCAGTTGGCAGGACAGAGAGTATGGGTGTGGCGGGCCAGACAGTGACTCTCGTGTCACGCCCTTCTGCCCCCCCATCAGCTCTCAACCTGGCGTCACAGGGCCCAGGGGGAGGAGGTGGTGGCCCTTCATTGAGGACTGTGTCGCACGCCCCAGGTGGAACCACCACAAGCACTGTGGTCACTTCAGCGTCCACCTACCACATCCCACGTGGAGCAGCTGCTGTGGCCAACATCGCAGCACCTAGGTCCCAGACAGTGGCCACACCTATCATGAGGACCTCAGCACAGCCCATTGGCCAACCAGGCTCTAATGTTCCTGGGCCGTAAGTACATAATTTTCCTCCCTTCTCTCTCATATTAGTTACCCGCATTAATTTCAATGAGTATTCCTTTTACAGTAGTGATATTGATGATATAACCTACTTTGATATCTTGTAATCCGTTGATATATTTTAAAGAAAAAGTCACAATTTACTTAAAGAAATAGCCCAAACTGAACACCTAACTTTTCTCCACCCAAACCAGGAGAGGAAGTGTGGTAGGTCAACGATTGGTACCAGCTTCCACGAATGGAGGCTGGATTCGAAACACACCTTCCCCAGCACACACGGGCAAGGTCACAGGACTGTCCATGCACCCTGGGGTCACAGCACCCAATGTCAGGTGAGCAGGATGAGTGACTGGCTGTTATATCATACCAAATTTACTGAATTTTCTCTCTTCTTTATTTTTTTAAACATGTTTCTACTTCTTCACAAAGTTTCATTTTAGAAAGATATATCTATTACATGTGCCACATATACTTTCCTTTAACCCTGCACCTCTTTTCTCCAGTCTGGGTGTCCAGAGGCCGTCGATGCCCATGCCTCGTCTAGGGCCAGGTGGTGGGGCCATAACAACGTACCACACAGGAGTGCGGCCAGGCATTGTCTCCAGTGGTTCTATCAGAGGGCAGGCAGACTATGCGAGGATGGTCACACGGAGGGTGCCAAGGGCACAGGGCCCAAGGCGGTGCACATCACACAGCCCATTGGGCCACAGGTGGGTTGGGTTAGCTGATTGAGTGCAGGATTGGGTATTTTGGGTTTTGCTGTTATTTCAGATGCTTCAATGATTATGAATTTGCTCCAATTGTATGTAATTTATATGTATATATATATATTATATATATATATATATATATATATATATATATATATATATATATATATATATATATATATATAATATATAAATATATATATAAATACAAATATTTATATAAATATAAATATAGATATAAATTATATAATATATATATAAAATATAAATATATAAATATAATATATATAAATATATAATATATATAAATAAATATAAATATATAATATATAAATATAAATATATATAAATATAAATATATATAAATATAAATATATATATATATATAATATATATATATATATATATATATATATATATATATATATATATATATATATATATATATATATAACTTGTATACTGATATAGGCATATATGTCAGTATGTAGGAAATATCATTTATATATTTGTTTGCTTATAATTTTCTAGTAAATTATTTATTTTACAATATCTGCCTCACATCTCACTTTCTCATTCTTTCCCTCCTTCCCAGAAATATGGGGGCATGGGTGGTGTAATGAGTGGCAGTGGCCGCAGTGTGGTGGCCTCCGGGGGCGGTGCAGGTGGAGGGTCCTCCTCAGGAACCATCTACAGCCCTGGCAACCCCATGGTGACCACGATGTCTGGCCCAGGAGTAAACCCACAGACCACCATCAGAACACAGGCTCCCCCGGCCATTGCTGTCAGAATCACAACAGCACCGGTGTCCACGGCTACATCGTCTTCACAGGTACTTGCCAGATGTGCTTATATGATGCATAGTGGGTGGGTGTGTGCATCTGTGCTTGCGTTAGAAAGTTGTGCATTTGATTCTTATGATTTTGCTTTTGATAAAAAAAGAAGTGCGCCATAAGCCTCGTGTTGAAACTTGACCCACTGCCTTTCCTTCCAGGTGACCTCCCAGGCTGGCACAAGCATTGGTGCCATTTCCATGACATCCCCTTCTGGATCGTCACCCGGTGCCATCCTGACACACCAGTCACCCTTGCACAGGACACAGCAGGACCAGGTTCCTCTCAAGACCCCAATTGGTAAGTGTGCCTTTTGTGTTTGGGTGCAAGATGGGTTTAGTTTTCCTGGTAAAGTGTTGAATGTAAGATGGGTGGCTGTCTTGGGTGTAGGTTTTTGGAGTTACAGGCTCTGTAATTCACGAGATTTTATGCTAAAGAAAGAAAAAAATTGAATTCAAGACTTTAAATTCTGATGGAAATTTGATAACTCCATTGGAGAAAAAAAAAAAAAAAAAAAAGTTAGGAGATTAGATATCTACAAATGTGTTGTTTTTTGTTTACATTTGCACTTTCAGTCACTGTTCTATCTGTCATATTTTTCTTTGCCTACATGATATCAGTTTATGAGGCTCTTAAGACCTTGTACTCCTCTGCCTGTGAGAGGTCACTAAACCTTATAGTCTAATGGCCCTATATTCCTTTACTGCTTTTCCCCCTTTTCCCTTTTTTGGATGACATTGTTGATTTTCTTATGAGTTTTGGATTCGTTCCCAAATGAGAATTATGATTTCCTTTTACAGTAATTAATTGTAATAATCCTTCACTTCATAGGATATAGGCACGTAACAGGGTTTTTTTTTTCAGTTAATTAAAATGCTTAGTCTAGTATCATTTACATTAAATACAAACTTCACATGAAGGCTGCAAGAAACAGACACCTGTGTCTGCTGGTCCCAAGACCACAAGTGGAATAATCACTCATTATTACCTACCTTATCCTCCATTGCAGTTCGGACTCCTGTGGCATCACACCAGAGCAAGGGTGGGGTACAGGCCCAGACTCTAGCCTTTTCCGATGGGCCGAAGGTGATCACGCAGCCTGCCCAGGGCCCACCTCTGGCTCTTGCGCAGATCTCAGGCTTAGCAGGAGTCACTACCCAGAAAGCCCAGGTCAATACTCACACTGTGTCACAGCAGCATACTCCTAATGTCCAGCACAGACCCGGTAAGCATATGTACCTGTATACACACATTCATGAGTGCATATCCCCCCCCCCCAAAAAAAAAGGGGGGGGGACAAAACTAATATATTGGTTATTTTATATGCAATCAAGTACACCTTTTAAGACTTATCTTGCAATCTCCTAAGTAATATATAGCCTGGATAATGATAACCATTTACCTCAGTTTTAATGAATATGATGCCTTGATGATATCAAGTGTGAATTAAAAAAAACAGTGATTGAATAAACGGTTTCCTCTTCCTCTTCACCACCTTCCCCGACCCCTGTCTTTGACCCCAGGTGGCAGCGTGATGGGCAGCAGTGTGGGGCGTGTGATGGGAGGGACAGGAATCCCGGTGGCCAAGGTGCTCCCCCAGCAAGCAACAACCCCCAACCAGGGAGCTGCATCTGTTGCTGGTCCCCCCAGGGGATCCCATGGACAGGTGCGCGCTCAGTCCCCTGGCCAGGCAGCCGACCCACAGGCTCCCCACACCAATGTGTTCCTGCAGAGACCTCATGCAGGTAAGGATGCAGGTGACATGGGTTTGTTTTTCCTTTATCTTCTTGTGTTTGTGTGGAAGGATTTAGAAGGATTTTTTTGTGCAAGATGAAAAATGCATGTTTAAGATATTAATGATTTTAGTAGGCTTTGTCCATGCCAGCTGAAGATATATTGGAAAGAAGATATACAAGAGTGTTTGTACTCATTCCTTTAATTTACTATTCCTTTTATTTAAACATTCTAGGAGTGACAGTGACAAGTGGCACACCCACAGGTCAGGCAGAAAGGGTTGTGACAACAGTCCCCCAGTACAGCATTGCACCACCCTACTACTATGAACAAGGACAAAACACTTATCAGGTTTGTATATATGATGTAGCCTAGATCATTATGCTGTCATTGTCATCACTGATGCAGCAGTGGACATTAGTGTACTATATAGGTATTATCATGTTTCTTCATCTCCAAACCCATGAATAACTTCTCATCCCCCATCACCGTACCTCAAGGTTGGTGGCCCCACCCTTGTGCCGCACACCCTGAGCTCCACCCACTACGTCCCAACCAACGTCCAGAGTGGCTCCCTCAGAGTAACAGGGGGAGGACCCAATGCCAGTGCAGGTGCAGCCCCAGGCCATGGAGGAGGCCCAGGGCAGATTGTTGAGGGTCCAGGGGGACAAGCACCCGCCCCCCTCCCAGCCATGAAGCCAGGCGCCTCCCCAAGGCCTTCCATCCTACGCAAGCGGCCCGACAGTGATGGGTTAGTGCCGATTCTCTGAATTATGCTCTTTAAAAGTTACATACTTTTTGTTCTTTTCTTATTGTACTTCTTTCTTCTCCTTTTCCTTTTTCTTTTAAAATTTGTATTAGTTTAGAGATATTTTTTGACATCTGCCTTTACTGAAGTTCAGTGTTTTATTGCCGTGGGGTTAGCCACTAGGTACCATTCATCAAATCTCGGCTCCTCTCTCCTCAAACCACAGGACTCCCCTCAAAGCCGCCAAGAATCTCACGGCCGCTCTGTGCCTCCCCATGCCCTCACCACCCTCCCCCAAACGCCCAGACTCCAGAGGGAATGGGAATGCATCTTCAGGCTCTACAACCATCTCGGCCAATTCCTCTCCTGGTAGGTAGTGTTCATTTTTGTCCCTGTATGGCATTTGCTTGTTGGAATTTTTCTTATCTGTTTTCATATTCATTTGTCATTCATGCTGTCTCTTCCTTCTTCTATTACTCTTTCTCCCTTCCTCCTTACTGCATTGTAATCTGTTAATTGTTAGATAAGTGGAGATGAATTGCAGTGGTCAGCATCATTGTGCTTGCTTGCTTCCTTCTTTGCTGGTTTATCAAGCTTTGGGAATTACCTGCTTTGAGAGCTAGAATATTCAAGAAAAAGTTCTCACCTTTTGCTAAACACCAGGTTGTTAATGTGTGCATTGATTAATAGATGTTTTGTCTAACTTCATGGCTGATCTTTAATAAAATGAATTAGACATTACTGATAATATAGGATAATGTTTGTTTGTTTTTCATTATTTTATCTATGTTTATACACCAGTGTATTTATTTTTTACTTGTATGCAGTTTTGATGAGTATGGTTGGATTATCTAGGCTGGAAATGCAGTTGAGATCACTTGCATGTGGTGATAAAATTCATGATGCCTCGTGTCGCATTCATCTTCTGGCTTTGGCGCCAAGGAGGTGTGAAGATTATACGCTGATGCTGATCTTTGATAGGCATTATAGTCATTGTCTCTTCTTTGAGTTCTGATTTGCGCTCTTTTCTGTCCACTCCTCATCCTCTACTTTTGTTCCTCCTTTTCCATTCATACCTTTGAAACATTGAACATTTGAATGCCATGCATGTACATAGCCATATAGAAAGTGATTGTCTTCATTTTTGTGCTTGTTAACTTTGGATGTGGAAAATGTTTAATTGCATCTGTCAGATTAATTACTGATCTTTGGGCCTGCGATTAATGCTATGCTGTGACTTCTTTAATGCTTCTGTGTCTGGGTGTAGAGAATATCATTTAAGGGGGTGAGCTTCAACCTGCAGTGTGGGGACACTCATGCTAGCTAAAACCCTTGCCTGCTTTTGTACTGTGAGCCGTGTGGTACTAACTGTGGCCATTCTTGTGCTCTGAAGACTCATCCTTATCAGGGCTACAAATTGAGGAGCTGGACGGCAACAGTGGAGGTGCCGCCACAGGGAACAGCGCAGAGTTGAGGACACCCCCCAGCATCAAGCAGGAACCCCCTGAGGATGCCACAGTGGTCCTTCCTCGCCAGCCTGTGCTCTGCTCCATGAGCGAGACTTCAGCCGGCCTCACTACTGGCATTGTCACCACCACACTCAACGTGCCCCAGCCCCACCTCTCTGTCACAAGCATGCACGGGGCTTCACAGGCGTTGGCTGATGGCCTCTCGCCCAGGAAGAAGCCCAGAAAGCAGCAACTGTGAGTACCTTGGTTTTCTTGTCTTTTCTATTGCCCCCAAAACACATAAGGGAAATATAGTGTCTTGATGTTGATGTAGTGATAAGTCTGAATGGTCTTAAAAAAGAAAAATGATAATAATCATCATCTAAAACTGTTAAAATCAGCCCTTTGTATTCCATTTATAATATTTGTGTGGGTGGGAGAGTACCCTTTTGCATGTGTACATATATGTATAGATATTTGTTTATTTATTTATATAGTTATTTAATTATTTACATCAACATACTATAAAGGAAGTAGGTGCTCCTTGTGGATAGGAGCTGGGGTAGTCTCATAGGAGAACCTATCTTTTTGTGAATATCAATACTTGTTTTTGAGAAGTAGTATTCTACAGTACATCTCATTTAAAACTAGAAATGAAAACTAGTAAGAAGAATTCTAGTAGCTTGCCTGCAGTAGGAAAATTTATTTTGAAAATATTAGAAGTTTGAGGTGATTTAAATCTTTTAATTCTGATAATGGTTTGTATCAAGATATTTCACTTTGAGTGGCTGTTTTGGGATTATTTTTAGAAATGTTTTGGAGTTGCATCATGCAGAAAGTCATGATAATTAATGTGTAATTAAAGTAGAATTTGCAAAATGACATGCAGTTTGTCATCATTTGAAGAAGAGAGGCCCAAGAAAATGGTTACAGCAACAATAGAATACACAGAACATCTATCTAAATATGTAATCAGGGACTTCTTTGTGTGGATAGGAAATTATGTGGTAACAAATACATTCTGGGAAATGATAGGAAGGATGGAAGAGGAATGAAAGATTTTTAAAATCTTTACACTGTATTTTTCTATTCCTATATTTTCATTTTTTGTAGGACTGGTAATGAGCTCCAGGAGGCCCGGTCCAGTGAGGATGACCTCGACCATCCACCTGTAAAGAAGACAAAGAGAGAGATTGCAGAGGACAATCACGGTCAGTTTGCCTCTGTGATATTATATCAGTCTATTTATCTAGTTCCTCGTGGTGTTATGGATTGATATAAACTTCAGTGAAAAGTTTTCCCACCTAATAGTTTGCCTTGTTCCAGACCTAGAAGGAAGCGAAGACGAGGGTGGAGGATGGTCTGAGCCAGGTGGGGGCAGCAGTGGAGGGAGCTATGGGGGGAGTGGAGGGGGCCTAGGGGGAGCCAATGCCAGTAATGCTGTCAACGCCACTGTCGTCATAACGAACCGCCCCACCATGTCCCTCCTGAGCAGTTTCCGGCAGACATGGAAGCCGCGACACAACCACTTTGTGCGCCACACGGATGTCAAGCCCAAGGACGAGAGAAGATTGACTGTCAATGAGATAGCTAACCAGAAGATGGCTCTGCAACGGGTCAATGGATGGAAGGTGAGCGGGGTGGGGGGTAATTCATGGCGTCTTTGCTGCCATGATTTTAAAGAGATTGAGAAGTTTCAAAAAGATTAGTGTGATCTTTAGTACTCTATGAAGCAGCCTTTACATAGATGTTTTTGTTATTACTCTGTAAAGCAGCTTTTGTACAAAAAAAATATTACTTTTATTTTCCATTTTCTATTTTGGTCTTTTACCATCTATTCAAGAATTAGGTCTATGGTAATTCATAGTCTGAGATGTTTTTATTTATTTTTTATTTATATATTTTTAATTATTTATTATTATATTTTTTTTTTTAGGTTGTTCACCTCTCAGGGCAAGTGGATGACCTTGTAGAGCTTGAGTCTGATGTGGTTGACCGTCTGCATTTGCTGCTCACGTCGTTGGAGAAGAGAACTCATGGCAGAAAGCCATACAAGGTATTGTTTGCTGTTTTCTCGTATTTCTTTTGTAAAATTATTTCTAAAAATTATCTTGGAAAGCAGTGTAAGAAGATTGCCCAGTATATAGGAAAACAACTTTTATTTAGTAACCTTTTGGATCTGGGCTCTCTACTGCCCACACGAGGCTAAATATAAGGGCATTATACTTACTTGGGTGGCTACTCTCACGGGTATGTGGCTTGTAGGTGCGCACAAACATTTGTGGGGTGCCAAATCCTTGCCTCCCTTTTGCAATGCTATTATCTCATTTTCCATAAATGTTTTAGCTTTGCCATTTTCCAGTGTCTATATTTATCATTTGATATTTTATCCAGTAGTTAGTCTATAATTCATGCAACAATGATAACAATAGAGAACATTTTGTTGTTTGTATTTAAGAAAAAAGTGATATTGAGTCATCTGTAATACAACCTACACTGCCAGTCAAAGGGGGGCAGGAAAAGGATACTGAGCACTGAAATATTTTCTTCCCTGGAGCTGGTGCTCCTCCAGTCATAGATGCTATATTCCATACTTGGTTGCCAACAGGAATAATGCAAGAGCCCCTTCCTAAATACTCACTGTCTAATTATCCTCTAAGAGCTTTGTGCACTCATGGCATGTCATTTCCGTCACTCTGGCCAGGAGCCAAATTTTTCTGTGACGGCATATTAACGTCACTTGCCACACGGCCAGATTTTTTCGTGCCGTCATGTCATCCAGATCCAAGGGGTTATGGAAGATTAAATTTAACTTTCTTCTTTCCAGGACTTTGATAAAGACATCAATAGGTTGTCAGAGCTAGTCAAGGCCAACATTCAGAGATCCAAGATTATAAAGGACCAGATGACAGAAGCCAGAACACAGATGGAGAAGCTTTTTGAGCACAAGGGCAAGATTGTAGAGATCATGACAAAGTACAGTAGTAAGCGCAGTGTTCGCAAGAAGGAGAAAAGTTGAAGCCTTTCCGTTGGGGAGAGAACTTGCATTGGGCTTTTTTGCTTTTAAAGCTGCCAAAGTGTTGTATTAAAGACAAAGGGCTTTATATATATTTTTCCAGGTTCACCCGGTCAATAGACAAGAGACATGGTCTAGGCTATCAGTCTTGTCCATTCACGTGCCAGGCATAAAGTGTGAATGCTGATAATTAACAAAAATTGCAGGCTTCAGCTCAAAGTTGAATTCAGATGGAAATCCTTGTGAAAACTATATAGATATGTACAAAGTATTATCATCATTATTATTACTTTTTTTACACCAGTGACTTTTTTTTTTGCCTTTTTGTTAATAGATAACTTCTCACCATCATTCAAAATACATCTTATTTGTCATTGTGGATTACTGTTGTGGCCAAAGGCTACTTCTTCCAACTCAAGTACAATTTTATTTGTATACTTCAAGCAGAAATTTATTGTTTACAGTGCAAACCTGTAGCTTAAGGCTTAGATATAAGTGATCAGTGATATGTTATTTGTATTAAATATAAAATTTTATTATAACAAAGTTATATGTTATTCCTCGATAGTTTTAATTGGAACACAGTGATATGTACAGTATTCATAGACCGACTGTGAATCATTAAGCCTACCCAGGAATAGTCACTTCATTTATGTCAGAGGATGAAGAAACCTAAATATTTTTTTGCATAAGTTTTAACATGTAAGAATACTGACCTGACAGAAGAGCATTAAGTTAGCATTGCAAACTTCAAAGAGTATAGACATATTCTTTTAAGCAGTATGTTTTATTTTGTCCGTGCCAATCACGAAATAGGCGATGAGACTTTGTATACAGACAAGTTATTATTACCTTGGCAGTTGCCCTAGAACCTTCCTTGGGTAAAACTAGAAGGTAATGTTTAAATGTAAAGACATATTGTTCTATAAAATCACATACATTGTACAAAGGAAAAGCAATATAATAAAATCTGAAATCTTACCTGCTTTACCTTACTATCATTTATTCAGTGTTAATTATTAAGATTAGGAGTTAATCAGGTCCATGCAAATTTTATCTATACACATTCTCAATCTTATTCTCTCACTTTTTAAGTACAATCATGAAGTCACTTGCTGAAAATGTTGTTTGTTTATTTATTTATTTTTTACATGAAGTTTTATGACAAATTCACTTTTTTTAAGACTCATTAACATTCACTATTGTGTATGTCATTATGTACAGTTTGAAGTCCAGACAAATCAATTTTTAGTGGAATGTTAAAATCTTTGTGAAAAGTTTCAATGTAGGTTTGCAAACCACACCAATGTAAAGCTTATTATTTTGTCTTTGCCCTTATGTCTGGATTTTATTTTTGCAATATTTGCTTATATATTCATTAGATGTATCTTGCTAAATTATGGTTTACATCCTACTTTGTGGTTGTTATTTTAGCTAGCCATAATTAACTCTTATTATTCAAATTAACAGTTAATAACATATTTAGTAACATGACCATTTTTATAGTTATCATTAATATTTGTACTGCACCTTTGTAAGATCAGTGGTTCTCAATCTGCTCAGTTTAAGCGTGTTCTATTTATATTTTTGTTTTCTTCATGTTTATTCTTTTTCTTTTGGGGGGTTTACTGTATAATACCATACAGATATCCAGAAAAGATTAACATGGTTAAATTTACACCTTGAAGGTTTCATATTTAGGAAAGTTAATGTACTGTTAATGTTGGTTTAGATCAGTGAATTATATTATGAAAGAGTAACCAATCACTATAACAGTGATCGTCATGTAGTCCTTGTCTTTATTGTGCAACACTTTACTACTCCAATTTCCATTCTCAGGCATGTAATCACCCTTATTCTAGAGGATGTGTCATCTTACAATCTGATGAAAATGGTTAATGGTTAATGGTTACAAAGCAAAATACATGTGCTTGGCATCAAAGGTCATATAGTACAACAGAAAGGTGTAATAGTGAAAAGAGTTGAGGGGGATTAGTTGATTAAATGTGCTACACATTAAAGGTCATATAGTAGTTCAAGAAGGCAGGGATTAACAAGGGTGTTTTGATCAAAGTTGACAAAGGAAGAAGTCTGGGATTTTGCAAGGATGTCTGTAGGGTAAGGTAATGATTAGCAAAGGAGTTTAAGGGCGATTAGATCACTTTTTCAGGAGGGAGAGTATCCAGGAAAGGGGGTTGTTGTGACAAGGGTCACATGTATATCCAGGGGGAAGCAGAAGGGATAGTAAGGAATGAATGGGGGGTATAAGGCTGAAGCAGGGAATGGGATGTGTTGGGGGAACATGAGTTGGAGGATGATGGATGTTGGCAGTTACTTGTGAGTGTAAGAGGAATGGGAACAGAGATTGGAGGAAAGATGAAGTGTAGACATGTTATCTTGAGTCATAATTAGTTTCTGCAATGGAGTTGGTTGGGGAGGTCTGAGAAACAAAGGTTTAGTTATGAGGGGAAAAGAGGGGACATGTTTGAGGGATGAAGGGAGATGGGGTGGAGCATTTAGCATGTCTTGTGCAATGAGGTGGGTGAGAAGGATGAGGGGTAGTTAGTGTGGAAGTAGTGATTGGAGTGTCTGGAATAGTGGTGTAAATTGGGGTGTTTGGATATATAATAGCAAAAGAATTTGGGAGAGGGAGGGGGTAGAAATAGGATGAGGAAGAGATACTGGGCGAGATGTAGAAACATCTTGGAAGGAAAGGGGAGGGGTAGAGCAAAGGACATTATTCGAGTAGGGAGTGAGAGAAAACCTTGTCAACATTCTTCCTGTCTGGCTTCATGTAAAGTGAGGTCAAGTTTGAATCTGATTTTTGCCATTTCAGACTGAAACTTGCAGATAGGGCAGCCCCTATAAAATATATTATGGGAGCCACCTCAATTGGCAGATGTGTGACTGTGCAGAGCAGTTTAATCAGTCATGACCATGGTAGGCACAAAGACGGCATCAGGCTTTGGAATGGCAGTGGGGACTTGTGACAACCTCAAGGAGGGATGGAGTAGCATTGTATTTGATACTGCATCAAAGCCCATGAGGTAGGCAAGTAAGTCTTCTCCACAATCTAACCAATCCTTGTCGTAGACAGGGCAGTTAGTCGAGGAGATAAAGACAGTCCCAGTGCAAGTATTGAGGGAAGGATGAGGTTGGGCAGGAATGGGTTTGCCAATGAAGTCATTTAGGGTTGATAATGCTATAGCTTGGGATTCAGATGTAACTGACACAACGGGATAATCTGAGCAACTGCAGAGGGAAATTTTACATACTTGCTTTTGGAGGCATTGCTGGAAGCCAAGTGTTTACAAAGTACAGGGCTGTGAGGGGGTTACAAAAAAAAAATCCTATTTGCCTGGCCTAAACAGAGTATATTCGTAGAGGTGGGGGTAGAAGGGTGGGGACATGTGGAAGAGGAGGTAGTGTTGACTGAGGTAGTACTGCTGAGAGGTAATAAAAGTTATAATATGAGTTTATGGAATCTACAGATCAAAGTATACATTTTGTAGCCTGAAGACATCTGAAACCTTGTGCGAATATTGTTACTTTCCTTGCATTCTTGCCTTAGCTTACCTAAGTATAGAACACATGTCTCTGAAGAGTCAAATGAAATGGTAAAGAAAAAAAGACAATTGATTCAGTTCTACTAGATTTATTAATTCATCAACCATTATACTGTACATACAAGATTAGAGGACTAATCTGCTAAACAAAATAAGTCCTCCCTACAACAAGATAAATCATTTACTTACAATAATTGGCATTAACAGGAGCAAGGGCCACTAATATTTACATAAACAATTTCTTAAGAATAATCCCAGAAGGCAAAAACTTGGAAGATGGAATCAAAAAATTTGTGTTCATCTGAACAGACTGTATGAAATGCTAAAAATCAGCAACTTAAAAAGCTTAAATTGTTCATTATTTGAAAAACCTAAAAATCATTTCTCAGTTACCATTTAACATATAACCAACTCGTGTAAGTACAGGACATTTCAACGAATATGGGAGGGCTAAAGCCAGTTTTAACTCTCACTGCATGATTCACCAAACAAAAGGCATACAAAAAGAAAAAAAAAATCCAAACAAGCTACCCTACTACAAGACAGCAGAACCTCCAAAGTGTGCTATTTGTAAACCACTATTTTATTTTCCTTATTTCTCAAAAAACCTACTCTTCTGGACACTACGATATGCACACACTAACACAGCAAATAGGAAACATACACCAAATTCAAAGTCTACCAACTGACTGGCTTATGACAACCACAACTAATCAAAGTTCACAGAACCTGATGAAAAGGCTGTGCACGGTTTCCAACGAACAGAACACACAGACTATTTTGACAAGTGATGGAAACTAGAGCGAGAAAGAAAAGCACTACAATGCAAGGTTCTACTGTTTTGTGGAGAACAGGAAGCAGGTCTGGTGGAGGTCTGCAGCTCCTCTGCAGTACGAGCCAGTCTGGCTGAACAGATGTAGTCCAGAAAACAATAGAAGGTTTGACAGCATGTATTCAATTCACATCTAAAAAAAACAAAAAAAAAAAAAACCCTGCCCTTATAGAAATAAACACAATACATAAATATACATACAAGAAAAAAAAAACATACTGCAATCTCCAAAATATATAAATAAATAAATAATCTGAACATTTACAATCTAGATTTCCACGACTGGAGTCTGATATCCAAGCCATTTTCTTTCTTTTTCTTTACCAATTTGAGCATAGCCTCAAAAAACGTACATTAAAAAGAAAAGAAAAAACTGAAAAACATTCTTGGCAGTATACCACTAGATACAAGATTAGAGAGGGGAAAAGGGGAAAAAAGCCTTAGGTGTTTTAACGAAAGCAACTCCTGTCCCAGCCACAACTGTACTGACAAAGAGGCAGACCCAAATAAAAAAATAATAATAATACTTTTATTGTTTGGTTGTTTTTGATATACAGTAATCCATACATATGCAAACTTGTATATATACATACATATGCATATACATGTACTTATCTATACATATACATACACATGCACATAATGTATATGTATATATACACATACATATACATATATATCTATATACATATACATACACATATATACATATATGGAGGGGATCCACACTGACAATGGCCGAGTAACACCAACACAAACAAAAAAAAAGTGCAAATTGTCCGCAACTTCTAATCTCCTTTAAAACTGTACAAAATAAAATGATTGAATGAATAAAAAAGTAAAACAAAGAGCAAATAAAATTACAAACATGTGACATTACCAAGGCAGGACTAGGTGAAGAGAAAATCCACTTTTAGAATGAAGAAAATCACCATTACTGGAATGTTGGTTTTGCATAAGGATTTTTTTTTTTTTTTTTACTTTTTTGTTTTTATTCTCATATTTCATTATTTACTAAGGCAAAGACTTGCATTAGCAGTATATAAAATAAAAATCAATTAAATATTGAATACAACCTACAATGTCTTTGACACTAGAAGAGAAGAAATGTGTCCAATAATAACAAGAATAAATAGCAACATCTTTGGCTACTAAAAACGGGCAAGTATCACAAAAGGATGTATGGCAGAGACAGGACAAAGTCGATCATCTTGTGCCCCATCGTAGTTGTAAATAAGGCATAAATCCTCAACCAAGAGACAAATAGAATGTCATCTTGTGAAAGCTCTTCATTTTGAAAACAATATTGATAGCACAATAGTATAAGAAAAAAAAAAAAAAAAAAAAATGATCTTCTTAAACATGATTAAATTCTGCTATTCTGATTTTTTAAAGTTAATACTAATAAAAAAAAAAACTGAACAATGAACTATAAACTATAATAATAAAAATAATGCTAATAATAATAATAATCAAAACAAAGAAACAAATAAAAGCATCCATAACATAAAAAGAAAGAAATGTGAGTTTGACGTTAGGACACAAACCAAACCACAAACTCAACCTGGGAAATATACAAATAC